TAAACAAGTTACCTTAAATGACAAACTGAAAGTACTATTGAATTTTGTGTTGACTCCTTAATAATAAAAAGTCTGGTAATATTTCTTATACAGCTAGAAAATATAGACTAACAAAATACAATAACAATATTGATATAATAAAATATACAATCACAAATAAGAATAAAAAATAACAATTTTTACTTTTCTTTATAAACTTTATTTGTAATATAGTATTTAATCTATTGTTTAAAGTTGGATATCTTATAACTAAACTTTATTTAACCATAATAGATAGCAATAGTGATACTTCACTTGAAACAAGAAGCAAATGGTTAATTCTAGTTAAAAATTTTTCAGACTAAATAAAAATTATCAAGAAAGTATAAAAAATATAAGCCAATTACAAATTAATATAAAAATCATAATAGTATACAAAATGGATTTTTTTTAGAACAATAAGTAATTTTTTTTCTTTTTATAGTTTTATAAATATGCCATACAAGTTTTAAGAAGGTTTTTCTACAAATTATTATAGATATCTATATGTATATATATATACATATCTTTATTTTTACTTTTTTAATTTTAATAAATCTAATTAGAGCCAATATGATATAACTAGTTTATAGTTGACTTTGTTCAAATAGTTTTCCAGGTTTTAATTTATTGAATAACAAATAAAAGCTTAAAGGTATATATTTTGGCAAGTTAGTTCTTTACCTATGCTATTAAGATTCCAATATTAATAATATAAAAAGCATAGAGAGCAACAAGTTAACTGGTAGGTAGCTTTACTATCTTAAATGGTTTAGAGAATAGATAGAATTTGACATTTGTTACAAAATATATAAGAGAACTTATAACAATATTCAATAAACAAGATGTATATCAGTTATTAAAAAAAATATATTCTAGATATAATAAAAAATTATAAACTCAAGATATTTCAAGTTTCAGATATTCTAAGAAAACATAAATTGAATATTGTATTTCTATGATATTACTTTTTCTATTGGCTTGTTCATGTCACTTGTGTAACACATTTGTGTCATTTATTTTGCCATTAATACTGTTATATTAACTTACAAGTTACAATAAATATAAAGTAAAACTTGTCTTTGTTTAAATTATAAAATTTTTCAAATATATTAAAAATGCTGCTTTATACTTTTATTAGAATATACATTCCAAATTTATATAAAATCAATAATTGTAACCAAAAAAGCTTTTATTAATGCAGATATTCAAATGTTAAAGATAAATAAGATTTGACTTTTGTTTTGTGTTTTTTTTTTGATTTACCACTGTATTAAAAAAATAAGATTAGAAAAATTACTTTTTATTAATATAAAAATAAATATAATTTTTGAAATATGTTATAAAATAAGAATTTTATATTAAAAAAGCAAGGGAAAAAATATATTAAAATATATTAATATATACAGTAAATTTATCAAATAAATCTCATAATTATTTTATTTTATTTTATTTTTGACAGGCGTTAAATGTGAGGCTTTATTAAAACTTTTGTTTGCTGCAATTTTTTATTAAATTATATTATAAAATATTTGGTATAAAGATTTTTTTTTAAAATTTATTATTAAAACTTTCATTATGTTGTATAAAAAAAAGTAATATATTTTTAGGCATATTAATACCAATGCAAATTTTACGACATTAATTTATAACACGTGTTGCATATACTGTAACTTATATACAATGTTTACAAAACTTAACCATGTATCTCCTATCTAACTTAAATGAATGTTCGTTTTTCTTCAAGGAATTACGAATTCTAGGTCACGAAGTACGTATAAAATTAATAGCTATAATCATTTTGAGTTTCTTTTTCGGGTGTCTTTTTGTTCATACAGATGCATTCCCTCCTCGACAATCAAATTTGTGGTTAAAGAACGGATTGATAACCATTAATTTCCCATAATATTTTCTAGTATTGATAATTTAGAAAAGGGAATTAAATATAAATAAAATGATTCTTTTATTATTTCAGTATACAAAGTATGTGACTATATGAATAGATCATAAAATATTACTGTATCTAACGAGTATAAATTATATCTATCAAATCATTCTGTCGATGATATCCTGAAGTATATCCTCGGCATCTTGTTCGCCATTATCGCGAGCTTTTGTCAACCAATGGAACATTTTTAAGATATCTTTTTGCGTTCCATACCCATTCTTGTAACATTTTCCAACTTGTAGTTGCCCAAAAGAATAATCATTTTCGGCAGACTTCAAATACCATTCAAACGCCTTTTCTTCGTCTTTCATAACGCCGATTCCGTTATAATAGCAGTACCCAACATCACATTGTGCAATATCATAACCTTGTTCCCCAAGTTTCAAATACCATGCAAATGTTTCCTTTTCATCTTTTTCAACACCCTTACCAACTTCATAACAATAGCCCGTAACATATGCTGCTTCGATATTTCCTTCTTCGGCTGCTTTCAGAAACATTTGAAATCCTTTTGCCTCATCAAGGTCAGCGCCGATTCCATCTTGATAGTAATACCCAAGGTTGCATTGACCAACAAGATTTCCATTCTCGACTGATTTAGAATTCCATTCAAATGCTTTCGATTCATCCTTCTCCTTAACTCCTTGTCCGCTATAATAACAATGGCCAACACATGCTTGTGCCCAGCTTGAGCCATTTTCTGCAGCATCCATAAATATTTGAAATGCTTTCTTCTCATCCTTTTTCAAACCCAAGCCATTGTAATACAGTAAGCCGAGAGAAATCTGACCAATAGTTTGATTTTCTTTTTTAAATAGCTCAAGTGTCGAAAATGATTCTGATTCTTCGAGTATGTCGTAATCCTCATCGTTGACCGCCATCGAATACATCTCAAATGCCATCTCGTAATCAACTAAAGTACCTATTCCGTGACGATAGAAAAATCCCACTAAACTAGTAAAGTAAGAAAAATGTGGATGTTGAAGAACTTGCGCGAATACTTTCGTAGGATTTTTTTTGTCCACTTCCATATATTTTTTAACCTTAAGAGCAACATGCTTAGAATGATGTTGCATATTGAATTGGTTAACGTAAAATCGAAATAATCCCTTTATGTAATGATCTATCTCAGCGAATGTCTCAACAGGAGGCAAATCAATTTGAATGTCTGTGCTAAATTGTGACGTTGAATCTGCATCTTCAGTAGACTCCACATTGTCAATAGAATCGGCAGGTTTATAAGATTCACCAAATTCAGCATTACTATCTGATATAGGTATCTCGACTTCAACTTCCTTAGATTTACTGAAATAAACAGATGAACGAAATAATGAACATAATATCTTATATATTGTAAGGTACATGGTTTAGAAAAAGTTCCGTACCTGGATTCTTCTTCTTTCACCAGATCGTCTAATGAACACATCAATATTTCGTAGTTGCTCACTACATCATCTATGTCGATATCATTAAGTGCCGAGTGAACTTGTTCAATAGTCGGACGTTTCGCGTCATCATAATGCCAACATTCTGAAGATGGTCAAATTTTTTTTAAAAAATTAATCACTATTCCAACAACAAATTAATTTTACTCACAATGCTTAACAATACCTCTATAGATTTTAACGTATCCACGTGGAGTTCCAGGCTCAACTGTTTCTCGTCTGCCTTTTACAATTTCTTTTATCAAGTCGTTATTATCCATTTCTTCAGACTCGAATGGCACCCTTCCACTAGAAATTTCCCACAAAAGTACACCCAAACTATATATATCCGAACTCTTTTTATGCCCAATTGATAAAAGAATTTCCAAGACCTGAGGATCCATGTATTGAAAGGAACCCAGGGATTTTACAAGTAGATTTGAGAACTCCGCCATTCGTCTGGATATGCCGAGATCGCTTATTCGGACGTGACCTCTGTGAATAAGAACATTTTGGGAATCCTATTTGTAATTCAAATAAAAATTTATAATTGTGACCGTCGCGAATAACGTAAATAAATAATAAATTATTACCAAGTGTCCATGAATAATTCCATTGACATGCAGGCACATTATTGCACTGGTGATTTCATTTGCGAGTTGTAGTTTGGAGGTCCAACTCAGATTGCTATAATTTTCCTTCAAATACTGACGCAAGGAACCTCCATCAGCATATTCAACAACCAGTAGATATTTATTTGAACTTGGATCTAAGGTTAAATGTCAAGAAAAAAGAAATTGAATCATAAGAAAAAAAAAGACGTGCAAAATAAATACAGTGATTACCTTGACTGCTTATACCATGGAATCTCAATATGTTATAATTATATTCTAATTTTTCATGTTGCTTAATCTATTTAATTAAAGATTTAGTAATAAATAAATAGATAAATAAATAAATTAAGGTTCCGAACCAACCTCGTTGACTAAATCCTGAAGTTTAAACTCATCAGATAAAGGGACCGACCTAATGACCACGGTTCTCTCAGTGTTCTTTAACATTGCTTTGAACACACTTCCACAAGAGCCATCTCCAATCTTCTCGATTTGCTCAAATTCCTTGTAGGGATAGAAAGTTATCCTTTCTTTCTGAAAAAGGTCTCTACTCGCATTGTCTATTTCCCCTTCGGAAAGAACAATTTTCTCAATTCGTTCGAGCTCACTATCTTCTTGTTGAAATATATCACTTGCTTCATCTTCAACGGGAAAAGTGCGATCAGAGCTACTTGCAGAAGATTCGTCGGTCATTTTTTGAAAATTAAAGGAAAAATAGCGGACTTATAGAATATAATGTCAGCACGGTTTACGTAATACAAATTACAACGTGATATTTAAATTGCACGTGAATATTAAAGACGTGTATTTGTCTTTATTTGCATGACGAATTAACAAACGCAGGCCCTTCTATCTTGCCAGTATTAAAAAATTTACATATAAAAACGAAAGAAATTTACAAGAATTATAAAAAATATTTACAAGGAAAATTCTTTTAAGTTTGTATACAAAGTTGTCAAATAATGGATCATTAAAATTCCCAAGACATGAGAACTCTTAGTAATAATAGTAGGGAGAAGCGTCACGTTTGTAGTAGTAGTAAGGGCTGGCTTCGGCATCACGCTTCTCTTCGTTGGCTTCTCGCTTGTAGTAGTAGTATGGTTCGGCATCACGCTTCTCTTCGTTGGCTTCGCGCTTGTAGTAGTAGTATGGTTCGGCATCACGTTTCTCTTGGTTGGCTTCACGCTTGTAGTAGTAGTATGGTTCGGCATCACGCTTCTCTTGGTTGGCTTCACGCTTGTAGTAGTAGTATGGTTCGGCATCACGTTTCTCTTGGTTGGCTTCACGCTTGTAGTAGTAGTATGGTTCGGC